AACTTAATCGCCTGAAGACAAGTGGAAGCAAGGATCGTTTCCAGCATCAGTGGGTACTTGACCCAAATGTTCGTTATTGCCAGAAGACAGGCTACTTCTGGCTTCTCTATGAAGAAGGTGTTGGCGTGTTCTGTTTTCTTTTCAAAAAGCACAATAAAGTGAATCTGCAAAATAAATCCAAAAAATTCGATACTAATCCTTCTGTGAGAATTAAACAGACTGCCATCATAGAGCACTGCAATTCACAGCGACACAAGTCCTCCGTTGAAGCAGAATTGACTAGAAGCTCTACTTTTCACAAGGAAATTGAGCAAAGAGAGCAGTAAAGGGATGATGTGTACTACAATGCCTTCCTGACAGCATACTAGCTGGCCAAAGAGGAACTACCCAACAAAAACTTAAACACTCTGCTTGACCTTACAGAACGACTTGGACAAGTTGACATGAAGTTTTTTTTACATAATTCAAGTGGTGCTGTAAGGGAGATGTTGTGGCGAAGATTAAGCTATCTAACACATTTAGTCTTCTTACCAATGAAGTGTGCGACATCACCAACAAAGCACAGCTAGTAACGTTCATTAAATTTGTAGATGTTAGCACAAACAAAGCATTAACCCAGTTCATTGCTATTGATGACTTCTTAAACGATTCTAATTAAGCAAATGCAACCACCATAAAGAACACAGTTCTCAAGCAGCTGAATGAATGTGCCTTGGAGGTGAAGAAACTGTCTGATCTCGCAACAGATGGGTGCAGTATGATGACTGGCAAAAGAAACAGTGTGTCATCCCAGCTTCATAAAGAGTCCCCACTGCTTCTTAATGTTCACTGCATTTGTCACTGCCTGGCTCTTGCGTTTGGAAATACAAATAATGATATTTCCTACATATCCACTGTAAAAGACATTCTAATCCAGTTATGGTCACTTTTCGATAATTTTGTGAAGAGGACTGCTGCTTATGGCAAAGCAGTTATGGCAGTGAAAGAGATCAGATTGTCAGCAAAAGGAAGAAAAAAAAGTGGCCAAAAGCTTTAAAAAGGCACACAGGACAAGGTGGTTGTCTATGGAAAGAGCTATTGATGGAGTGTATAATGATTTTGAGGCATGGTGTCAGACCCTGCGCATCATGAAGGAGGATGGTTACTCCTTGGCTACAGGCCTCTTCAATCAGATTGCAAAAATCAAGTTCCTATCTACTGTATAAATGTTGCATGCAGTTCTCCCTGCCCTTGCTCACTTGAGCAAAGCTTTCCAGGAAGGCAATGTTTCATTTGCAGCTATCGGCCCAGCTGTCAAGTACACTGCAGACACATTACAGGGAGTAGCTTCAGCAAACAAACCCTTGGAAGACCTTAAGAAAGATCTGGATGACGGAGGAAGGCTTTCCAATTATGATCTTCCAACGCATAACAATACCCAAGAGCAGCATTTGATCAACCTCACTCAGAAGTATACCACAGCATTGAAAGAGAACATTGAAAGCCGCTTTGAAGACAGCCTGCCTGCTCTTGAAGCTTTTCAAATCTTTGATCCCACAACAGTTCCTGGTAGATCAGACATAGCCTTCTAGGACTATGGTACAGATCACATCAATATTATAGCCAACTTTTTTAACAGTGGACACCATAGCCAAGCGGAAATGAAAGAGGAACTATTGTGCGAATGGCAGAAGTTGAAGTACAACTTGTTGCAGATGAAGGAGCAGATACCATCCGAGGTATTGAATCCGCCACCAAAGAAAGAGCTTGTTTCAAAGTCCCCCACTGAATGGGCTCTTCAGAATATTTTATCGATGCATGCTACTTACCAACACTTCGTACAAGGGTTGCTGTATCTTGCTGAGCTGTGTCTATCTCTTCCAGTGAGCAATGCGTGGCCGGAAAGGGGGGCATCGGTAGTGAAGAGACTTAAGACGAGGATGCGTAGCAGACTCAGAAATGATATGCTTGGTGCACTACTACACATTACATTAAGCTGATCAGCTTATTAATGCCACAGTAAAGGACTGGATGAAGATCAAGCCCAGACGGAATATTGCCAAAGTAAAAGAAGTTAAGAGGACAACATTTTCTAATGCTGCAGTACAAGCTGATCTCCATACAACACCAGACACACAGATTATCAGTTTAGAGGAGGACGAAATGAAGCAGTCAAAAGATGAAATGTTGCTAGAAGAACTAGAAGTCAAGGCAACCTAAAAGGAAATGAAGTTGCCCCAGCCAGATGCACTTTCTGATAGTTCCGTGGACTCTGATTATGATTCCAATTTTGACGAACTATACGACTTTTTAGAGATTTAATTTTACCAAGCTTTTGCCTTTCTATAATCAGCAGTAGTTTTTCGTGACTATGCAGGTGTTTCTCAGACAAGCAACACAAAAATGTTTTGTATTTGTAGTTTAATTCAAATTCAAATAATTATTAGGACAGCTACTATACAGCAGCTACAGTTTTGATTCTATTGACTTTTGAAATTGCAGTACACCTACATGCAATTACCATTTAACAAAACATTAAGATATAATTTGCTAAATGGTGTCTACTTTTTTTAATTAATGTTATTCGAGATTTCAGAAAAGTGGTTAAAAAAGTTGATAAATACAGGAAAATGAGTGAAAACTGTCATGTTTAGCTCTTAACTGTGGGATCTTTGGCAATTAATTTTGGGCCCCAGATTGCTAGAAATCACCTTTCCGAGCTTCCAGATGTCAAAATTTTCTGGGGGAGCATGCCACCAGATCCCCCTAAAGGATGGGGCCCCTCAAAGTCATAGCCCCCTACTCCTAGAGAAGAAATATATAAAACAACAGATTAGTCATTAACAGCTTAAGAATGAGTCTCTGTAAGAATCAAACAAATTGGGAAATGAAAATTTTCAACCCTCCTTCAAATTTTGCATGCAGTTAGGTACTCAGAGGGGATGCACAAAATGCCCTTTTTAGAGGTTGCAACACCTTTGTTGCCATGGTAACAATGGATGATTGTTCTCGGCTGAAAGGCCATACTTACAAACAAAAATTTGCCTAAAAGGTGTAAAATGTGAATCTCTCAATCTCACGTCTGTTTAGACGATACAACAATACTTACAGCACACAGTGATATTGTTCATCTTTATTGTGGCACATTCAATTTTTCATGAGAGTTAATGTAAATACAGGAATCGATGATTTATCAAGGTACACTTTCGGCCATTTTGGCTAAAGAGTAAAACAACTAACATATTTTTCTTAATTTCTCCAAAAGTACACCGATCCTGGAACTGAGACCAAAGTCCTAATTAGTACTAATTAGTACTAATGTTCTAGTTCTAATTTAATTTCTAATTTCTAATGCTCTAATTTCTGTGGGCCGGTTGCTACTTTTTATAAGGGCAGTTCACGAACTGACCTCAAAAATCTATTGTTGCATATTTTGGTAATGTTTACATTTTGAGTTTTCAGCAACAAATTTCACAGACAGACTTACTAGACATACGTTTAAAAGAAGTCTATCTCATGATCAATGTCTCACAGGAAACTATCGCCTCTAGTCGTTATTTTACATCAGTCAAAATAAAGCTTACCGTAAACTCTCAGTCTCATAATTAGGCTCAGTGCATGGGTTCCTTCCTGCAAGGAATCATCCTTGTCGTAAACTCATAAAATGAGTTTCAAAGGAAGTTGCATTTTCCTTGGGCTATTGATTCGCTCTAGTGTTCATCGTCAGAGGTTACTGACTTGCTAAAAATGTCAAATTCAGCTGACAATTCTACCTAAAAGTGACAGCTACTTCAATGATGAGCCAGCGACCAAGCATGAAATGTTTACGATCATTCTATGGTAGGATTTAAGCTTTGTTTCTCACCCCAGTTATTATCTCGAAAGATACAAACTAAGTTCTGGTAAGTAACAGAACGAAAAAGCAAAAATCACCTTCTCTAAACAGGCGATTGACCCTGAAAACCACACACCCTTGACAAAAGTAGAAACCACGTTTGTTCAGCGGATTTGATTTAGAGATATGCCTGATATGCCTGTCACTGTGGACTCAACACAGTCTCTACATTTGTTTTCACCATTTGCCACTGTTGTTCTTAAAGCAAAATATTGCCGCTTTTATTCTTTTTTGCCCTAATGTATTTGATAAGACTGGCTTTAGTAACAGACTGGCTTTAGTAACAGAATGGCTTTAGTAACAGTAATTTAGTTACAATTGATCCAACACCTTTTTCGATAATATTGTTGCCCTGAGTTAAACTCCATGCCAAGGCTGGGCTTTGTATATATCCAACTGATGTGCCTCATGCCAGTTAGGATTTTTAAACTTTATGTTTATTAACAATTTTTTTCTCGTATTGGCCCCCAAATACCCCATTAGGGGAGTTCCAAAAACTTCCTCAGTATTAAATTCTCAGACTTCCAAGAGCACTGCAATGACACAAAATAATCCACTTCCATTGCCAACTGCCTACTATTTATGGACAGTACTGAAAATATATAAGATATAGCGTAAAGTGAATAGGTGCGGAAGAGAACGGAAAACTGTAATGACCTCAGATCGAGTATTTTCAAAGTTTAAGAGGTACTGATTACAGTTTGCCAACGTTCAATGCTTTGAAGTCCTGACTTCTTTTTCAGGTGTTAGATGACATTAATTGTGAGGTACATAAGAAGAAGTTTTTAAACGAGGAAGACAGAGATGCAGCAATCTTCATGGTCCAAAATGCGAGGCAGGCCATTTCAGAATGGAAGGCACATCAGTTACAAAGTGCTCATCAAGACACTTGTCTGTTGGATATCCTGCAGCGCATGAGCTCTTCTTCTGTGCTGATTGTCCAGACTTCGCAATGAAGTTTATTCCGACCCGCTAAAGAGAAGCACAAAGCGATTTCTTCGGAAAACGGGGCATTTTGTGGCAGGTTTCAGTATGCCTAAGGAAAACCGACAAACGGCTCGAGGCACAAACACTTATTCCTATTCTAGAGTTAGGACTGCAAGATAGTGAAACTGTAGTTTTGATCATGGAGCATGTGCTCCGTTCCTTAAAACTACAGCATCCAGGGATTACCTCAGCATATTTCAAGCAAGATAATGCTGGATGTTACCACTCATCGTGTACAATTCTTTCTGCACGTGTACTTTCCTCAAGCTCCAAAATACAGGTGAAGCAAATCGATTTCAGTGATCCACAGGGGGGTAAAGGTGCATGTGATCGGAAGGCTGCACAAGTAAAAGCTCATGTAAGAAGTTTTGCTAAGGAAGGAAATTCGGTCACCTCTCCAAGCGAGTTTAAAATTGCCATTGAGTCACGAGGAGGCATTCCTGGGGTGCGCGTCATAGTCATCAAGGTAGACGGGGCAAACACAAAAACATTCAAACTGGATGACGTGAATGCCTTTAACAATTTTGTTTTCGATGGCCACAGGTTCAATGCCTTCAAGGCCTACCAAGTTGGTCCTGGAAAAATCTTCCTTTGGGAGGAGTTTCACGAAGGTAAGCACATTTACATCATAAGCAGGATTTTTATTTCTTCTTCTTTTATATCACTTATCCGTTTGAAAGTACCATAGGTGTAAAAGACCAATAATGCTTGTTTCATTGTGCTCTTTCTACAGCTCTAGTATATTACCGACTCTCTTATTACTGAACGAGTATTGTCCCTTGTTGCTTAGAGATCACATGCAGAAATGCATGAGTGGCTGCAAATGAAAGACTCTTCCATTTGCACTTGAAGTTCTACCGTGTTGTAAGAAAAAAAGACTTTCGACATACTTTATACCTTGTTAGAAAGTATTACTAGTCTGCTAAGACAGGGTTCGAGAATACTTCAGCTTTTGATAAGTTAACCATGCCTTTTTAAGTTTAACCACTCTCTGTAAAAACGATTCGCTACTAAAATGAAAAATTTATCAACCAATATACGTCTGTTTTGTGTGTCGGTCTCAAGTGCCGGAGGAAATAGATTTCCCATGGCTAGAAAACGCGTCCTTTGGATTTGGCGACTTTGTGCCTGTCTTTCAAAATGCAGCTCGTGTGAGGCAGGCAAACAATGACACTGGTGAGGCAAATGAAGTCACCATGGTAGGAAATGAAGCGTCAGATTCAAGTGATCCAACAAGCTCTGATTCCACTTCCCCACATGAAGACTGTACTGAAGCTTCTATGCCGAAAATATTTTCTTGTCCCGAAGAAGGGTGTATAAAATCTTTTCTACATCACTCTTCACCGGAGAAACATTGTATTTTTAGCACTCATATAAGATCGTTGGAAAAAATTACCTTGCAAGACAGGGCAAAATTGTTGTATGCACAGCGTCTAAAAGAGGGCCAAACCAAACACCTTTCCTGTGTTCAGGTACACGGTAGCCCATCGTCACCTCTGCTAGACACGGGCTGGGCGTTAAAGTCAAAGGCAAAGGTAGTAAGGTTCAATGAAAAGCAAAAATCGTATCTTGAAAGCAGGTTTTATACGGAGAAAAGTTTGGGAAAGAGGAAAGTGGAGAGGCTGTAGCTAAAGATATGAGAAAAGCCAGAGATGCAAAAAATGAGCGGTTGTTTTCAATGGAAGAATTCTTGACCCCGCAACAAATTAACTTGTACTTTTCTCACTTTGGGGCCAAACGAAGGCAGCTCAGTGAATCAGAAATTGATGCAGTTCAATCAGAGAATGCTGTAAAGGAAGTTACCGAAGATGTCATAGTTGCCCTACAACAAGAATCAAATAAGTACAATCATCCAATCGTGTTCAACGAGTTCAAGCTGTGTGAGATGTCGGAGGATGAACTGTCCATGCTATGCTTGACAACGCTCAAGGCAATCTCTGAAGAATTCGACTTGCAAGCCTCAGGATGGTGAAAGGCGCCTTATGTTGACTGTGTTGTTTCTTTTGTTAACAGCTGTACCTGCAAGGCTACGTAAGAGCTGTATGCAACTCAAAGTAAAAGTATCATTACTGTCGTGTACATGGACTGCATGGAGCATATGTTCTGTCGATTCTAATATAGGCCCATTACTAAAGCCAGTCTTATCAAATACATTAAGGCAAAAAAGAATAAAAGCGGCAACATTTTGCTTTAAGAACAACAGTGGCAAATGGTGAAAACAAATGTAGAGATAGTATTGAGTCCGTAGTGACAGACATATTCTCTAAATCAAATTCGCTGACCAAACGTGGTTTCTACTTTCGTCTAGGGTGTGTGGTTTTCAGGGTCAATCGCCCGTTTAAAGAAGGTGATTTTTTCTTTTTTGTTCTATTAGTTACCGGAACTTAGTTTGTATCTTTCAAGATAATATCTGGGGTGGGAAACAAAGCTTAAATCCTACCACAAAATGATCGTAAACATTTCATGCTTGGTCGCTGGCTCATCATTGAAGTAGCTGTCACTTTTAGATGGAATTGTCAGCTGAATTTGACATTTTTAGCAAGTCAGTAACCTCTGACGATGAACACTAAAGTGAATCAATAGCCCAAGGAAAATACAACTTCCTTTGAAACTCATTTTAAGGATGATTCCTTGCAGAAAGGAGCCCATGCACTGAGCCTAATTATGAGACTGAGAGTTCACGGTAAGCTTTATTTTGACTGATGTAAAATAACGGCTAGAAGCGATAGTTTCCTGTGAGACATTGATCATAAGATAGACTTCTTTTAAATGTACATCTAGTAAGTCTGTCTGTGAAATTTGTCGCTGAAAACTCAAAATGTAAACATTACCAAAATATGCAACAATAGATTTTTGAGGTCAGTTCGTGAACTGCCCTTATAAAAAGTAGCAACCGGCCTGCAGAGATTTTTACAGAATTAGCAACTAGAACATTAGTACTATTAAGGACTTTAGTCTCAGTTCCAGGATCGGTGTACTTTTGGAGAAATTAAGAAAAATATGTTAGTTGTTTTACTCTTTAGCCAAAATGGCCGAAAGTGTACCTTCATAAATCATCGATTCCTGTATTTCCATTAACTCTCATGAAAAATTGAATGTGCCACAATAAAGATGAACAATATCACTATGTGTGCTGTAAGTATCAAGTTGTATCGTCTAAATAGACGTGAGATTGAGAGATTCACATTTTACACTTTTTAGGCAAATTTTTGTTTGTAAGTATGGCCTTTCTGCCGAGAACAATCATCCATTGTTACCATGGCAACAAAAGTGTTGCAACCTCTAAAAAGAGCATTTTTGGCAAAATTTGAAGGAGGGTTGAAAAATTTTCATTTCCCAATTTGTTTGATTCTTACAGAGACTTGTTCTTAATGATCTTTTCAGGAAGTGAGACTTGTTAAAAATTTCTCTGAGGAAAGGCAATTTTTGTCAATGAGCCCCCCCAATGGGGCTCTGCCCCTGTGCCCTGCTAAGGGGCTCACAACCCCCAGACCCTTGCCTATACACGAGAACATGAACAATTACAGGACTTGCTTTGTTTATGTTCATAACTAAGGGTTTACATGGGCCAGTGTTAATTTTCTGGGAATTCTGAGCTAGAAAATGAGCTCAGTCTATTTGAATGTTGTTGTTGTCCAAAACTAGTCCATTTGTAGTAATTTTTCAGCAACTTTCACTCTTCGTAACATTGTTCCTGTTTCATTTTGTATTTGTCATAGCATTATATTTATCTCTTGCTTTCTTTTTGAGTCATCTTTGGAAGACTCTTCATTAGGAGACATCAGTGAATCCTTCCATGTAATGTTTGAGAAAAACCAAGATGCAATCAAACATGGTAAATTTAAACTGGTCGACAAATCATGGCTATGGATACAACATCAAGTACAGCAGTAAAAAGTCTACTGAATGGCAATGTACCAAACCACCAGAGGCCAGTTTCAACTTAGATCAAATTTAACTTAGGACTGTTGCAGAAGGCATGTTTAACTTGCTATCAAATTCAATTATAGAATTAAGTACAACAAAAACACAGCATCTGAAATTGTTCTGTACAGCAAATTATATTAGGTGCAACACTTTCTGTGTTTTTCTTTTTCGAGATTTCAAACAAAAAATGGCTTGCAGGTCTGAAATGATAGGTGAAAATTTTTAAAGCAGCAGTAGTTTTTTTCATCTCAATCTTCAACTCTAACAGTAAAAATAATTCAATCTTTGTGTTTTGGATGTTATTTTTTTAGTTTCTCATTTGGACCTGCAATATGACATCACTTAATGCCCCATATATGATATATCCTTTTCTCAACATGGGTGAACCCATGTCGTGCTACAATATAAGAGAGCAGTAGCAGTTTTACAATTAGTCAGACTAGCCATAACCATGACCCAGAAACAGGAACAACCATCGCGTGCAAATTAATCAAGAAAATCATAGAAATAGCTGTGACTGATGTATCCAAGCCAGCCTCAGCCATTGTCGAAAATGTGCTGCTAGAAACGTTGGAAACCGATCATCTCTGTACTGCACTGCCCAAGGTCCACTTCATGGCCTGAAACGCAAACAGGTATCGATAACCGCGACGACCTGAAGAATCCAGAGACCTTACTTTCAAATTAAAAGAAGATTGCCCACCTGATGAATTCCTTTGTAGAGATGTTCGTGTTAACAACTGTTGCCACCTGATTTTTGCAATGAAAGAACTTCTGAAGTTATGGGCAAAAACAAATTATTGATATCCCTAAAAATAACATTGCAATTTACTATTGATGAATAATATTTAGTCATACAAAGACTTCATTATCAATTAAAGACTTAATTACCAATTATCAATTTCAATTACTTTCTCTGTTGTCAGGTATAGGGATGGTAATTTGAAGCTTTGTGGCCAACCTTTTGTACAACTATATTTGATCAATACCTTTGTGTGCAAGGATGACTGTAGTAAACAATTCATGCTCATGTCTGGACAAAAGAGCACTGATCACCATAAGATAAGACAAGTTTCCAATAGAGTGCAATTATTACAACCATGAAATAGCTAGCAAACTAAATAGAACTAAATGGTGCTAAATCCTTTGTTTCCTATTGTTGAATAAGCATTATCTAGTACTAATTACTTAGTCTATTTCATGAGTATATTATTTGCACTCTCTGAGATTAGTGGTCAGTAGGGTGGTTTCAAAGGCAGTGAAAGAATTATTATTAACTACTATTTAATACCATGTATTAAAGTATAGTAATGTGTACATTACTGTTAAATTGCATTGTCTAATATCCAAGTTAAAGTGTAATAGTGTATTACTGCAAAATATGTTAGTAATAGAGTTCTTAAGTGTGATGTCAGGTTACCATGGCGCTAAAATTTCAGTTCTAAACTGTTGTTATTATGCATGTTTGACCTTTGTTATTTAAATTTAATTTTGTTTCACAAGAATTATTAATTTAATTTATCCTTTTGTCATTCAAGCTCTTTTTTTTAAAATTAGCATATATATATATATGTATTTTTGATCTCTATCCTATGTTGTGACGGTTTTTGTGTGAGTGGAATAAAGGTTGTAAATTCAACAGGTTATGGGCCCAGGAGTAGATGAATGAAACATGGAGGAAAAGTGGTCAATCAACAAGCTCAACGGGAGCAATTGGAATACTTGGAAATTTCAAATGAAACATTTACTGTTGGCGAAAGGATTGTGGGGCTTGGTAGAAGGATCAGAAGTCCTTGCAGACAATGTTATGACAACGACACAAGTGCTTTACCGATCGAGGCTACAAAAGGCATTCTCAACAACTGTGTTGGGGATTGATAGCGCTCAGCTTTACTTGATCACCTCAAGCGAAGAACCAAAGCAAGCATGGGATGCGTTGAAGAAACATTTTGAACGAGAGACACTCGTGAACAAATTATTTTTAAAGAAGAGATATTTTCGCTCTGAGATGAAAGAATGTACACCAGTGGAACAAGATCTGAAGCTCATGAAAGATATCACCAATAAACTTGCAGCAATTGGGGCGCCCATTTCCAAAGAGGATCAAGTTGTGACTTTGTTAGGAAGTTTGCTGAGAAGTTTCACGACCCTTATCACTGCTATCAAAGCAAGAGTGGATGGAGTTAGCCTGGATTATGTTCAGCAAGCACTCATTCACGAAGAAATGAAGCAATCAGAGCTATCCAGTCAGTTGAATGATTCTGAATCAGCACTTACGGGGACCTTTAGGAGAAATATGACACACAAGTGGCCAACATGTTTTGGATGTGGTGCTGTGGGTCATGTTCGCCGTAATTATCCAAGCGATCCGTCCCATAAGAAGTTAACATGTTTTGAATGTGGTGATGTGGGTCATATTCCCTGTTATTGTCCCAAGAAATTGAAGATGGTTATGCTACTGCATTTATGGTGTCTGTTGAGAGCGTGGAGTCTACAAACAAAATTCGTTGTCCATGGATTATTGACACGGGTGCATCAAGTCATATGACGACAGAAAAGCATGTTTTGGTGAATTTTTAGGAATTTGCTGCACCTGAAAATGTTGCGCAGGGTGATGGTCATGTTGTGAAAACGTTGGGATCAGGGAATGTATGAATGAATATGCTGTTTCAAGCGACCGAATCCAGGAAAGCAGTTTTATATGATGTCCTGTACATGCCTAAACTCACTTGCAACCTGTTTTCTGTAAGAGCTGCAGTTTCTAAGGGCAACGCCATAGAGTTTGGTCCCCAGAAGTGTTGTATTCGGGATGAATATGGAAAGCTTCATGGAATGGGATCACTGGTTGATAAAATCTATCAAATAGACTGTCAAGTTGCAATCACTACGGACACTGCGTACATCTCAGTTGAGTCATCTCAAGGTAGGGACTTATGGCATCAATGTCTTTGACACGTACATGAACTATGCCTCAAGAAATGTCTGGAGAATGAATCTGTACAAGGGATTAGCATCAAGAAAATGACTGAACTGTCCTTTTGCAAAGGATGTTTGGCAGGAAAGATGTGTAGAAAACCGTTCCCCGCAGTGGGAGAGATCCGCTTGATGCAAAGGCTACAGCTGGTGCACAGTGACGTCTGCAGTCTAATGCACATGCCATCGATTGGAGGAGCAAAGTATTTTGTTACATTTATTGATAATTACACTAGGTGCTGTGCTGTACACTTCATGAGACACAAATCAGAAGCGTTAGAGAAGTTTATAGAATTTGAAGCCTCAGTAACCAACAGTGTCGGAAAGGCGATAGGAACTTTGCGAATGGATAATGGCAGCAAATATTTGTCTACTGAATTACAGAACTATTTGAAGGAGAAAGGAATTAGACATGAGCTGACAGTAGCACATTCACCCCAACAGAATGGAATGAATCAGACTTTGGTTGAGTCGGCACGTTCGGTGATCGCGCATGTGGCATTATCGGACACTTTTTGGGCTGAAGCCGTTTGTACAGCTGCCTATGTGAGAAACCACCTTCACACGACGGTGCTAAAAGAGAATGAAACTCCTTATGAGCGGTGGTATGGAAGGAAAGCAGATGTGGGCCACTAACGTGTATTTGGGTGTATGGCCTATGCCCACGTACCAGACAGTGAACGACGAAAGCTTGACAAGAAATCGAAGAAGATGCGCTTTGTGGGCTACAGCTTAACGTCAAAGGGATATCGTCTTTTTGATGGGACGAACTGAAAGATGTACATCCGAAGAGATGTGGAGTTTAATGAAAACGATTTCGGCCAGAAGCAAGTCATGACAACAGAGCCAGACCCAAGGTGCGAGGAAGCAAAGCAAAACGAAGTAATCCCTAGAAAGGATGAAGGAGAACAAGAAGAAATGAAGAATTTAGAATAAGACTGCCCAAAGGAACCTCGACGGTCAGTAAGAACACGAAAAGCACCAGTCAGATATGGTTATGACGAATACACAGACATGGCAACTCACTGTATACACCATGTCGCCTATCATCTTGCTGGGGTTGATGAACCTACAACTCTACAAGAAGCAAGATCAGGTGATCACACTGCAGAGTAGAAAGTCACGAAGGATACAGAATACAATTCGCTGATTGAAAACATGACATGGAGGATTGCCTCCAGGTCGGAAAGTTGTTGGATGCAAATGGGTGTTTAAACTGAAACACTCCTGCGATAGTACAGTGGAACGATTCGAAGCATGCCTAGTTGCCAAGGGTTACACCCAGAAATATGGTATTGACTATGATGAAACTTTTTCACCTGTAGTTCGTTTCTCTTCAACACGTTGTTTGCTAGCATTTGCAGTTCAGAATGATTTGCTAATTCACCAGATGGACTTAGAAACAGCTTTTCTCAACTGTAAACTTGATGAAGAAATTTACATGCAGCAGCCGGAAGGATACGTGAAACCTGGGGAGGAGCATCTGGTATGCAAGCTAGAGAAGTCGCTATATGGGTTAAAGCAATCTTCCCGTTGTTGGAACAAAGTTTTTTGGGAGTGCATTGAGAAGATTGATTTTATTCAAGCCTCTGCACATCCCTGCGTACTCATCAGAAAGGATGCATTAACTATAATTGGAGTTCACGTTGACGATCTGATGATTCTAGCAAGAAACATTACGGAGATGAGAAGTGTCAAAGATAGTCTAAAGTTGCAGTTTAAGATGAAAGATATGGGAGAACTGCACTACTATGTCGGAGTCTGTATCGTTCAAGATGTGAAAAACAAGCAAGTCTTCCTTCATCAAGGGCACTACATCGAAAAGATGGTCGAGAATTTGGGGCAAACAGAAGCAAAACCGGTGTCTACACCTGCTGATTTGAACGTCAAGCTGCAAAAGGAAGATGGCTTCAGCAGACCGGTTGATGTGACTTCATATCAATCGATTGTAGGAAGCCTACCTTATGCTGCAATTGCAACTTGTCCAGACATCGCCCAAGCAGTGGGAGTTGTGTCTAAGTTCTGTGCCAATCCGACACAAAACCATTTAACAGCAACAAAGCGAATCCTCAGATATTTGAAAGCTACTGCATACCTTGGATTGAGTTACAAGAAGTGTGCTAATGGAAATCGGATTGGTTACTCAGATGCAGATTGGGTGGGTGATATGGATGACCGTCATTCCACTTCAGGAAATGTGTTCTATCTAGCGTGTGGGGCAGTAAGCTGGCTAAGCAAAAGGCAGGCTACCGTTGCATTGTTGACAACAGAAGCAGAGTATGTAGCACTCTGTATGGCCACTCAGGAGGCAATCTGGCCTCAAAGGTTGTTGGCAGACATAGGAGAACCTCCAGAGGGGCCTAGTGAAATATATGAAGACAACCAAGATGCTATCTCAGAGTACAAGACAGAGCAATCGCTCTGAAATTCATCGGTACAGAAGAGATGATTGCTGATATCCTTACGAAACCTTTACCTAAGCATTGCTTTGAGAAACTTGTTGCTAAGCTAGGCAAGAAGACTGTTAAATAACCAACCTCAAAAGTGGGAGTGTTGTTATTATGCATATTTGACCGTTGTTATTTAAATTTAATTTTGTTTCACAGGAATTATTAATTTAATTTATCCTTTTGTCATTCAAGCTCTTTTTTTTTTTAATTAGCATATATATATGTATTTTTGTTCTCTTTCCTATGTTATAATGGTTTTTGTGTGAGCGGAATAAAGGTTGTAAATTCAACATAAACAACACAATTATCTCTTGTTGGTGGGTCACGTAGCCAGTGTTGAGGTCAAAAAGACTTCATTAACCCCATGTTTTGCAACAAAGAAAGTTTGCAAGGCTAATGGACGGTAAATAGGTCAATTAATTCTTCAAAGTGGTCGCCTTTGTTAAAAAAAAAAGAACTTTATGTACGAAAATGGTGTGCTGCTTTGCTCGACATGCAACCATTCATGGGAGAGCCATACTTGCAAGTTCTTCACTTTTCCAAGCGCTGTAAAAGCAAAAGACGAGTACAAACAATGGATCCATCAGATAAAGTTATTCACAGTATTCATCGAAAATCTCTCTTTCTGAAAAGAATGTAAAATACAGCAATTTGATTGAATGTGCTATTTTCATCAACTAAAAATCTTGTGGAAATTTATGATCATCGCATGCAAACAGTTGCATGTAGTGTTTATCCTTGATTTATGATTGCTTTTGTACTCTGTATTACGGTTCCTGGTTTTTGTTTTTGTTTTGCATTAGCGTTACCCTGCATTGTGAACTGGAATGGAGCCTGAATAGAACTGTTACAGTGGCATCATACATTGTTTTCACCATGTGCGAGCAGATATTTTTGAGGCAGTGAATTCCTTGGTCATGTAATAATAAAATATTTCTCACACCAGCCCAGAATTTAATGGAGATTTTCTATTGTCCCCTGTACAGAAGAGATAAAGAGCTTAAAAAGCACTCTGGAGTGTATAGCTACCATTTTAAAGATGGTAAAAAGTCAAATAGCCCAGAGATTTTTGAACAAAACAAAGACAAATTATTTTTTAAGCAAAGGGGATCTCCTAGAAAGAAAATAGAGAAGATGCCTAAGGAGAAGACTGTTGCTGAGATAGTGGAAGATGCTCAAAGAAGTGAGCCAGTATCTGTTCAGGAGGGGAAAGTAGACAAGGGAAAAACAACACAGGAGGTTATCCTGGAGGCAGGACTGGACCTGGCTAAGACAGATGTACAGGATCTCCAGGAACAGGTCAAGTACAAGAGCAAGTGTTACACTGTATCAGAACTGCCTGACAATGTTATTAGAATGAGAACTAGTCTTCCAACAAAGGAAGTCTTCGAAATTGTTGTAAGACATGCCAATAGGTTTAACGATTCCATCAATTATTTCAGGGACTGGAAGGTTGAATTAATCACTTTTGAGGAGCAGATATTTATTACCTTACTGAAGGTCAGGCTAAACTACACAAACCTTTCCTTGGCTCAACTATTTAATTGTAGTGTTGCTACAATTAGCAACATCATCACAACGTTCACTCATGTAATGCATAGCATTTTATTTCATGATATAATGACATCCATTCCCATACAAATAAAAACAAACTAGCTGCACCATCCTCTTTCAGCCAATTTGAATGTTGATAGACTGCAATGACATTGAGGTTGCAGCACCTGCACTGATGAGTCAGCAAAGTGCAACATACTCTTCTCACAGAGGAATTAATTCATTCAAAGTCATTATTGGTGTTGCACCTAATGCTGTAATAACCTATGTAAGCAAGTTATACCAAGGTTCCATTTCCAATAAAGCCATTGTACAGGAGTCAGGCCTCCTCAATCACTTAACTACCAGGATATAGTTCTAGCCGACAAAGGGTTTCTTATTCAGGACATTGTGCCCCATGGAGTTTCAGTTAACATCCCACCTTTTCTAAACAAAGGGGCTTTCACGGGGAGTGTGGCCAAAGCTACAAAGGCAATAGGAAGATACTGCATATATGTAGAAAGAGTAAATGCAAGGCTAAAAGACTCCAGAATTTTAGCCTTCATCCCCTCTTACCTTCGTTGTTACTCTGATATCCTGTTGCAGCTGTGTGCCACTCCTGTTAACCTACAATTTCCATTAGTCAAGGAGGGGTGTGAGGATAGGGTTTTTTAATAGTTTGGTTCATTATATGTTACTGAGTGTGACATTACACATTAAGGTCAAAAATAACATTTTATAATAAGTTTCAAGTGAAGAATATCGTTAAAATACAGTTGTACTTCATCTACCACAACTGCTTCCCCATACACTACTTAGGGTTAGGGTAGGGGGGGCAAAAAATCCACCAGAGAAGACTGTGTCCTTTCAACATAACCAAATCAATAGCACATGGCTTTCTTTAATTTTGATACTTTTTCATAATTCTCAATGATAGCAGCTTCAAACATTTCAAAATCAATGAAAGGTTAAAACTAATTTTTAATCATTTGTCAGACCTTTGTTAAAAGAACATGTTACCAAATTTTCGAAGCATGCAAGAAAAATTATATTTCCCTCTCCACAACTTTTGGGATTAGAATAAAATTGTGTTAAGTGTTTGCTGCCCATGCTTTTCCATTTTTAAAAAGGCAACATCTTTTGTGGTCCATACAACAAAAAAACAGAATTTTCTATGTGAGAAGTACATGTCCCCATGTACTTGGTGCCAATACACATGGTCCTTTTTAAGTTCATAGCTCAGCCCACTCTCATTGCTCTCAAGGCAAAATGCTGTTGACTTAACAGCCTCTTCTATGGAAAGGTTTTGTCATGTATTACATGACGTACTGAGCGCAGACAGGCTTCATGTACTCATATATGAAGTAGGTAATAAAAGAGAAAGCACATGGTCGATCAGTGTGTAAACCTTATCTGTACGAATCCAAGGCATAGTATATGCATTAGGAGGATACAACATTGGCGACGAGGATAATTCTGTGAGACACAAGATGTCTTTGAGCGAAAATGGCGCTTCCAATGGGATTCCTAAGTTCGATTGTCACTCGGAACCTACCACGTTAGGACCACGTTGGACGCGATGGTTCACATCTTTTGAATTGTTTGCCGATGGCAAAGGTCTGATTATCACTGAAGGTACAAATGCAACAACCAGACAACGAAGAAGAGCTATGCTACTCCATTTAGCGGGACAAGATGTGCAAGAAATTTTCTCTACTCTCGCGAACACCGGCGAAGCAACGGACTACGCCGCCGCTGTAACAGCACTGAATGGCTATTTTCTCCCCAAAGTTAACTCCGCTTTTGCGCGTCAAAAATTTCACCGACTCCAACAACAGCCAGGTGAGACCGTTTTGCAGTTTGTAACCCGACTGAGAAAAGAAGGGAAAGACTGTAATTTTGGGGCAGACTTTGACAATCAGATAAGAGATGCGATTTTATGCAAATGCAGGTCAGATTATGTCAAACGTAAATTGCTTGAAGAAAGAGATGAACTTACTCTCACGCACATTAGAGCTTGCAGAACAGTGTGAAAGTGTAGAACACCAAATGTCTCAGCTTAGCTTGAGTGAACAGACTACAGAAGCACACAGGGTCTATGAAAAACCTAGGAGACCAAAAGATCAACAAAGAAACAAAGAGAGCAAGAACAGAGACAGTCAGTGTCCTCGTTGTGGGTGGAGTGGTCACCTTGGTGGAGATCCGAAATGCCCTGCCAGAGGTCAAACATGTAAAAATGTAAAAAAGAAAGGTCACTTTGCTAGTGTCTGCAAAACCAAACCAAAGAAGCCAGGAGTCAATCAGGTGCAAGAAGAACAAAAAAAACCGATGGGGAGCAAGTCGATTATGCATTCAGGGTCACCAATAAAGGTCAGTCAAATATGCTCAAATTGTCTGCGGGTGGAGTAGAATTGGAAATGTTGGTGGATTCTGGGGCCACCAATAACATTATCGATGAATGTACATGGGAAGATCTGTAGGCTAAAAAGATCAAGTGTAAATCACAAACAGCTCCCGTTGACAGAAAATTGTACGCTTATGCATCCAGCAAACCCCTCCCAGTAAAAGGTAGCTTCACATGTGAGGTACTAGTGGGCAGAGGAAGAGTCCAGACCGAATTCCTGGTTATCAAAGGAAAGGGAATACCACTCTTAAGCAAAGATACCGCAATGAGGTTGGGGGTGCTGAAAATAGGTGTTGACATTGCCACAATTGCTGAAGGCAAACAGACGCTGCAGCAAAAATTCCCTGAAGTGTTTAGTGGGATAGGAAAGTTGAAGTCCAAGCAAGTAACATTGCACATAGACGAAACAGTGAAACCAGTAGCCCAACCCCTGAGGCGAATTCCTTTCAATCTGCAAGAGAAGGTAGAAAAGAAGGTTCAAGAGTTGTTGAATTGTGATATTATAGAGGAAGTAGACGGGCCTACACCATGGGTAAATCCAGTAGTGATCATACCAAAGGCAGATGGTGACATACGCCTCTGCATCGATATGAGACAAGCGAACAAGGCCATAGTACGTGGCAGATACCCAATACCAACTGTAGATGAACTGCTACACAATATGAATGGTTCCAAAGTCTTTAGCAAGTTAGACTTAAAGTGGGGATACCACCAATTGGAACTTAATTCAGAGTCACGACAGATCACCACCTTTGTGACGCACAAAGGCTTGTACAGGTACAAACGTCTATTATTTGGCGTGTGTTCAGCGAGTGAGCAGTACCAACATGAGATATCCACAGCTTTAGCTGGAATAGAAGGAGTCGATAATATATCTGACGACATCATAGTACATGGCCCGGATCAGGCAACTCATGACCAACGCCTATATAAGACAATGGAACGCCTCAAGCAGCATGGCTTAACTCTCAATGCTGACAAATGCCTATTCAATGTGGACAGAGTGATTTTCATGGGAATTCTTCTCTCTGAAAAGGGATAGGCCCAACAGAAGAAAGAATCAGAGCCTTGCAAGAAACAAGGGAACCTGCCACCGTCAGCGAAGTAAGAAGCTTCCTGGGATTGGCCAATTATAGCAGCAGGTTTATTCCTCACTTCGCTACTATCACTGAGCCACTAAGGAGCTTGACCAGAAAGGCTGTTCCATTCCACTTTGGACCTGAGCAGAAAACCGCTTTTAAGATTCTGAAACAGAGCATGGCTGACGCAGGAACACTTGCATATTTTAACAAAGGCGCAGCAACCAAAGTAATAGCTGATGCCAGTCCAGTCGGCCTCGGAGCTGTGTTACTACAGAACCAAAATGAAGCATGGGTGCCAATTTGCTATGCAAGCCGCAGCTTGACAGAGTGTGAGGGCAAGTACTCCCAGACCGAAAAGGAAGCCCTCGCTCTCGTTTGGGCATGTGAGAGGTATCATGCATACATTTATGGCATGAAATTTGATCTGGTAACTGACCACAAACCGTTGGAGGTCATCTACGGGCCACGTTCCAAGCCCTGTGCCCGCATCGAACGGTGGACAATACGGTTACAACCCTACGACTTCCGAATTGTATATACTCCAGGGCAGAATAATATAGCTGATCCTCTTTCCCGCCTGCTTAAGCAAGACAAAGTGACGAGTCATCCACATGGGGCAGAAGAGTACATCCGATTCGCAGCTATCAGTGCCACTCCCCAAGCATTAACCACGAGAGAAGTCGAAGAAGCATCTGCAACAGATGAAGAATTAAAAGTCCTGAGAGAAGCAATTAAAACTGACAGATTTGAGAAGTGCAAAAACTATGCACCAGCCGCAGGAGAACTGTGTGTGATTGGACAGCTAGTCTTGAGAGGTACCCGTATTGTGTTACCAAACAAACTCAGAGCTCAGGCAATCAGCTTAGCCCATGAAGGACACCTAGGAATTGTGGGAACAAAGCAAAATTTAAGAAGTAAGGTGTGGTGGCCTCGTATGGATAAGGCAGCAGAGAAATTCTGCAAGTCCTGTCACGGATGTCAACTGGTATCTCGCCCAGACCCACCTGAGCCATTGAGATCCACGACATTACCAGAAGGTCCTTGGCAAAACCTAGCTATAGACCTCCTAGGACCACTTCCTTCGGGACACTCAATCATTGTTGTTGTGGACTACTACAGTCGTTATTATGAGTACGCCATCATGATGTCAACCGTCACAGAGAAAGTAATTGACAACCTGGAAGAGATTTTCAGCCGCCATGGCCTTCCTCTGACCATAAAGTCAGACAATGGTCCACAATTCCGCTCCAAGAATTCCGGGAATATTGTAAGCAGAATGGAATTGTTCACACCAAGACCACACCAAAATGGCCTCAAGCCAACGGGGAGGTAGAGAGACAAAATGCATCGCTGATGAAGAGAATCCGCATTGCCCAAGCCGAAGGATTAGACTGGGTGAAGGAGCTAAGAAAATATGTGACTAAATACCGAGGTATTGATCACGCGACAACCGGTAAGAGCCCTGCGGAATTATTGTTTAACAGAAAGATGAGAGGAAAGCTACCAGAGCTACATGCCGACCATCACTTGGACCTGGAAACTCGAGATAGAGATGCCGAAGTGAAAGCAAAGACCAAAGTAATAGCTGATAAATCCATGAATGCAAAACCATCAGAAGTTCAAGTTGGTGATCAAGTCCTGGTGAGGCAAGAGAAAAGAGACAAGTTTTCCACGCCATTTAATCCAGTACCATTCCAAGTGGTTAGCAAGACCGGTAACAGTGTTGTTGTGGAAACTCCAGGTGGAACGCAGTATTCAAGGAATACATCCCATGTCAAGAAGTTTGTGAGCCCTGACAATCCGGAAGAACCACCTGTCAGTGTCGATGTACCGACAACACCTGAAATTACCGTGGTACCAAATCAAGTGATGAGTGGATCTACATCAGTAGTGCCTACAACACCTCCCAGTAGACCCCTAACTCATCTCACACCTTTAGCACAAGCAAGTGCAGGAAGCAAATCTGGTACAACCTCTGCTAGTAAGAATGCAGCAGTTGATCAAGCAACAGTACCTAGCCCACCAGCAACACCAAAAGGTGGAAGACCTCAGAGACAGAGGAGACTCCTGGGAGATATAAAGACTTTGTTTTAAAATGTTGAACTTCGTTTGAAACAGTGAACTTTGATTCGAAATGTTAAATGTTGTTTTGATACAAGGACTGCTTAGAACCGGTGAATCTCGTGTTGAAATTAAGCGAATTAGTTATTACCAGCTCTCCGTCCAATTTTCAGATTCGCACGTTTTGTTTTGATTAAGTCTTAAGGACTATTGTTTTCTCTCTTCAAGAAAAGGAGGGATGTCATGTATTACATGACGTACTGAGCGCAGACAGGCTTCATGTACTCATATATGAAGTAGGTAATAAAAGAGAAAGCACATGGTCGATCAGTGTGTAAACCTTATCTGTACGAATCCAAGGCATAGTATATGCATTAGGAGGATACAACAGGTTTCTTTCTGTGTATGGGCACTTCACTTCCAGTACAGTCTCCTCATCAACAATGCCATCCAGAGATGCTCCAAGGATTCCAGAGGAATGGAACCAGATGCCTGTTTCTGTGACTGTCTTCCCTGTTTTGAGGGTGAATGCTTTGATAGCTTCCTCTTCATTGTCCAACCCCCCTCTGCACCACTTTGACTCTTAATAAGTCATACTTTCCTAGGAACTACTTTAAAAGTGATGAAGTCACTCATCACCCTAAGGACAGAGCCGAAATTACTGGCTGTAAGTCTACCCCTCTCTGTGATGTGCCAAGCAAGAGTGTCTCTTTGGTCAACTGTTAGTTTGCTTATCATCAATATTTTATCTTCATCTAATTTAGTTCTGTGACCCAAACAGTCCAGCTGTTGTTGGTTTCCTCTAGCTTCAAGAAATTCCTCAAAGTAAAGAATTTCCTCAGTGGAAGGCATCAGCAGTATGCTCAATTTAAGGAGCAGGACTAAGCAGCCAGCAAAGTCCAGTAGACCTTCCATATTTTTTCAGATCCTTGTACAATGCAGCTTGATTGGCATGTGTTGGCTTCTTCAACAAAGCACAGCAACTCTTAGGCAGACCACTTGATTTGAAAGCAATTAGTTGGGCTTTCTTCTCTTCCAATGACATTCTACGTCTGTATGGCTCAGATGGTGGATTCTGTGAATGAAAAGGGCGGCCACATGACTGCACTTAAGTGCCCCTCTCAGGCATTTGCGCTCCATCTTTAGGAGTGTGTGATTGTTTAGAATGCATTTTTTCCTTGTGACATGACGTAGTTGCCTTAGGACTATTATTTCACGGGTTTCTGAAAACCACTCTATCATGAGCTTCATAGATGTGATTATCACTTTCCAATCATAACGCAAATAATTATTTATGAAATATTGTATTTTGTAGGCACTAGAGAAGATCATCTAAATATTGCCAAGAGAACCAAGAGTCAAACGAGTGGTGCTTGATTTTGAAAAGTCGGTTTGGAAAGCCATTTCCAAAGTGCTACCAACAGTGAAACTATCCAGTTGTGGATTTCATTGGAGCCAGGCCACATGGAGAAAGTTATGAAAGTGAGGTCTGAAAAAGAAAACAACAAGAATCTGTTGTTGTTTTCATTTTATTACCTCATCAGATCCACTATTTGGGACTTCAGGCTGCCAACTAGGAGCATAGACCAAACCAGATTTTCTTGAGGAAAGTCATGGCTCTACCTTGTGTGCCTGCAGACAACGTTTAGGGCATGTTTTACTGGCTTATACCACAGGCTGACCAGAATGCCGACAGCAATCAATGGAATCGAACCACTTGGTCTGTCTATCGAAGGTTGGTTCAATACCTAGGTCTATATTGCTTCTTGTGTGCTTTGTATTGCATTGATATATGAGAAAATAGTCAAGTTAAACATTAATTGTAAAATTTTTCATCATAAGAATATCCGCACCAACAACAACGTATAGGGTTGGCACAATATACTGCCATTGGCTGCAATTTTATCTGCTACTGAAACTTCTGCACAGCAAA